ATAAATTCGGTATTCTGATTTGTATGTTTGTTTTTTCATTTTTCGATATTTCGATTGGAATTTTTTATTATCTCCACAATGTGGAAACTTAAATTATAGCTAAATATGTTACCCTCACATGTCCCAAATTTGAAAGAGATATTTTGTAAGAGGAGACTCAGAAATATGAAATTTCAGATTTGAAATTTCAAAATTTGAGGCAAAAATTCCAAAATTCAAAAAATCGAAAGGTACTGTTACATCGGCACCAAATCAAAACATGAACCGATTTAAATATCAAAAATGAAAAACATGTTTCGTAGTGGAATTGTGAAAAAAAAAACTATAAAAATGTACACGTCTAAAAAGACGTCCCTTTCTTCAGGGATAGATTTCCATAACTCATCAATCAATACATCTCATCTTATTCGGAATGTAAGCCGATATGGCTTATGGAACTTTCAACCTCACTTGTGAGCCAAAATGTAGGCTACAGCCAGTAAAGCTTTAATTAGATTAGGTTAAAGGACGCGCGGTTGTCTTTTAGTAACTCCACTCGGAGGTCCTTATATAAATATGGTTTCCAAATTAGTCACTTTATTTGTTCTGAAACAGTTACATGCATAAATTCAAATTAAAAAAAGTTTTTGAGTGACCTAAGTTCTTAAAATTCTTTTTTAAACACACGAGAGCCTGTCACCTCTTACTGGTTCCTCCTGCATTCAAACCAAAAGAGAAACACAAATCTATATAATACACACACATTTCATTACAAACAAAAACAATTTAATTTTGCTGTAACTTTTTGTTTGTTTGAATTTAATTACATAATTTTAAAACGAAACAGAAAATAAAAAAAAAAACTAAAAATAACGATAAAATATATAGGAGGGAAAAGAAGCGAAAGAAAAGAAAAAGATAAGGAAAGTGTTATGTTGGTTGCGTCGATAACCATAGCCTGTTTTCAATTAATATTCAATATATTTGAAAAGTCGCCAAACTATCGATGGCCGCGAAATGGTTGCTAACATAAAGAGTTGAGGGTCATGGTACAATTAAACAAACGAAAAACAAAACTTTATTCCCCTTATCAGCCAGCCAGCTGTTTATAATGACGGCTGGCTGTTAATTTTATTTTAGCTCATTCTTTTTTGTATCGAAATTTACCGCTGATAAGCGGAGGGCTAGAGTTTTATGAATTAATTACAATATATGATGCGATATATTGTCATTATTAGGTGCAGTAAAAAGTTTATGCATTACTGGCTTTTTATTAAGATTATTATATATATTAATGATATTCCAATGTATTTTTATCAATTGTACTAATAATAGATAGTTATTGGTATACATGTTGGATTTTTTTTGGTAAAAATAGAAATTATTTGCATTTGGGAATTCCCTAATTAAACAAATATTAATCGGTAAATAAACCACAAGTGTAGATAAATTTCTATATATATTTATAAAAAAAAATTGTCATATTTCTTGTATATATTTACTTATTCATTCTAACTGCTTTTTTTATTCTCTTTAAATATTTTACTCATAGTTTATGTTAACATTTTATGAGCTCCCTTGAGTACACTTATCTAATCTACTATCAAAACTTAATGTCTGACCTTTTGATTTTATTTTACTAAATACATTCATTTGTGCAATGGTACTCTATGATGGGAACAAGCCGTGAATCAGGCGTTGGAACATACTTAAAAACGCAGAAAAAATAAATCGCTGGCATGGAAAAATGTTTCATAGTCTTCTTCATTCCTTAGGCGGGAAAATATTTAGTATATTTTCTCGAGGAACTGGACCATAAGACGAGTCCCTTCCAATTCCAATTTAATGCAGCTTATTTTAGCCTCGAGCCCCATAATGGTTTCTTCTTAAAATGTTAATAATAAACTTTGTTTTTTATAAAAATCACTCACACAATCTCTGGACTCAACTCATTCTTCGTAAAAAAATAAGTTTAATGTAATCGGCTGTCTACTACAATAATGAAGGTTAATGAACGTAATTATTTTTTTTAGCTAAATGTGATACTTTCGCCTTAAAAGAACTATTACCGAATTTGTAATACAGGATGATATGAAAAAACTGCAACCAACTTCAGATTGCTGTCATTTCTAAGCCACTCGTCCGACGACTGTTAAAATTATTCCGGCGACAGCTCATTATATTGTTTTCAAGCGTACAAAAGCATTTTCGTGAGAATTTTCCAGAAAAAAAGTTATTCGTGATGGAATTCAAGCGCGATAGTGTGATATCATTATATTTGGCAGGAAAACCACATGTGACTGTAGTTAGAGCACTCCAGCATTTAAATGTGAATAAATCTTTTATGTCTCGTACCATTGATCGTTACCGTGATACTGGTAGCGTAGACCGACCTCAAGGAAAAAGACAAAAAAAACAGCAACATCAGTAAAAATGGCTCGAAAAGTAAATAAACAACTTTATCGAAACCCGCGTCACAATGGCTAAAAAATGGCTCGTGAGCTGAACCTACCGCAATATTCCATTCCGCAAATATTGAAAAATGAGCTGGGGTAAAACCATTGTAATTCAAAAAAATGCAAGAATTTACACCTCAACCGAAAGAAAATAGACTCAAAAGAGCTAAAGGGTTGTTTCGCTTGGCCGTAAGTGGTGAACTGCCGAATTTGGTTTTCTCCGATGAGAAAACATTCGTTGTCCAGCAGTTTGTAAACAAACAAAATGACCGTGTTTACTTGCCAAAGAGGTCAGCTGAGAATGTGCACCTTCGGTTAGTCACCAGAACCCAAACGCCGGCCATGGTGATGGTGTGGGCCGCCACAACAGCCGATGGGCACTCTACGCTCGTATTAATCGTCCGTTGCATCAGAATATTTGGCGAATATTATCGCAAAAATATTCTGCAGGGTGTATTAAAGCTTTCGGCACGCAAACATTTTGGCCGCAGACCTTGGACATTCCAACAGGACTCAGCACCATTGCACTCAGCACGTGCCACCCAAGAATGGTTACAAAATGAGGTTCCTCGCTTTATTTCCGGCACACAATGGCCACCAAAATCTCCGGATACGAATCTGTTGGACTATTGTGTCTAGAGTATTTTGGAAAGCAAGGTTGGCACTAAAATATACCAAAGTGTCGATCGCCTCAAGCAAGCGCTTCGCCGGGAATGGGCAAAAATACCGCAGAGCAACATTCGGGCAGCGTGTGACGCTGGCCGTTTGAAGGCCATAATTTGTGCCAAAGGTGACTAATTCGAACAAATCTAAACTTATTCTAAAATTTGATGCTATTTCCGACATTTTTTCCTTTCAGTCAATAAAATTTAAAACAAAAAATTAAAAATTGACGTTAGTAAGCCTGCCCTTGCCTGGCCCTCACCTCATCGAAATAGATTGGAAAACCGAACCGATGGAAACTGATTTCATCATCTATATCAAGTTGTAGTACGTCTCCTTATCTTCATCGTAAAATCTAGTTTTTAAACTGGAATGAACCATTTCATCATATAATTCTTCAAACCCCTTCTGTTCTCCAGACTTCACGCTACCTTTCATATTCCAGAATATGTTGAAGGAATATAAGAAGATCGGGTGATTTAGCTATGATAATTTGTGGCCCCTCTACATCCTAAAATATAACCTATCCACATTAGAAAGATATTTAGATAGATATTCCTAATATCGGAAAGTATATGGCAGCTTAACGAAAACATGGATAGACAATTTAGAGATATTTCTACCAATTACCAATTTTAAATAGAGAGTATCAGAATTTCCCTTGAAAACTATGTCTAAAATAATCAAAATAATGCCGGATATCCATAGTGTGGTGGAGGGTATACAAATAATAGCGTCTACGTTACAGGAAGTCGCATTAAAACCTGCAACCAATATCTCTATTTTCAATATTTGAACAAAAAAAAACAAACATTGAAAGTTCCAAAAAAATTCAAGAGCAAGTAGTGCTGTCGTTGCTTATAGTTCGGGATACCATATGTTGTTATTTGAAAATAGTGACACTTAATCCCATCATTGTTTGAAAATTAAACAAGTAAAAAAGCAGTGAGTTCGGCCGGGCCGAACTTTAAATACCCTCGACTATTTGGAACGAATTTGGCAATTCTCAAAATCCGTTAAAAAATTCTGTTAAAATCTTAAAAATACCGAATGTAGCTGTTATATTATTGTCAATACGATGGAATGGACCTGCATAGGTAACTTTTATCATAAGCCATTACAATATTCAAATGCGAAACGTAAAAAAATCGGTGAATATTGTCGCTAAAATATCGGGAGGTACGGTTACCGTCCCGAATATCGGGACGGTTATATGGGGGCTATATCAAACATGGGCCATTTTAATACCAATACCAAAAGTCCTGCAGACATAATACACATTTAAGTAAAATTTTAGCAACCTACTTCATTTCGTTCGGAAGCTAGAGTGATTTCCACAGACGGACAGACGGATAGATGGGCGGACATCGCTAAATCGACATAGAATTTTATGCTGATCAAGAATATATAAACTTTGTGGGGTCTAAAATGTATATTTCGAGGTGTTACATACGGAATGACAAACTTGACCCCTTCATACTATGGTGGAGGATATAAAAAAGATAAGGACAAAATAGCAAAAGTTTCTTAACACGCCATCGATTCTCATCAGTTTGGTAAAATTATTGTTCGGTTTTATGTACTCAAACGTAATTTAAAAAAAAAAAAACTTCTTAAACAAAAAAAAAAATAATTCAGTCAAGAAACTGAAAAGATTTTAATTTAAATCCGAAAACTTTAAATTCAAATCAGCTTCATCAAAAGTGCACAATGCCTTGCCCAATTCTACTCATATTCAGTTTGTTTTTCAAAAATCTCTAATACCATCTACAGCAAATTCAAATTCCAAACGAAACACTTATCTCCAAATTATTATAATTCCTTATTTATCTAAATTAGAGAAACCCATAACCATATCCGATAAGGCAATCTATCCATCCATATTGGCGCTCATTAACTTACCACATTTGGGGGCAATTTGTGTCCTGGCAAATATTTGACATTTTCATGAGTTGTGTTAATGATTTCTGTTAATTTTTTGCCATCGATCATCTCTTCATAGACATACATGGTGACACGCTCCTCGAATTCGGGCAGATTGGCACAATTGGCACCCACAATCTTGGCGATGGCGGAGCCCCTAAACAATGAAAGAAGAAAAAAAGAAAGAAAGCGCAAACAAAAATGGTTAAAAGGTTATGGCCATAAACACTTTCATTACGATTAGCAAAAAAAAACTAATCCAATTTTTTTTCTTTCTTTGTGTTTTACAAATGGATGCAATTATATAATTTAACAAAATGCACAAAAAACAAAAAGAAATGCATTTCACAGATTTCATTTTTAATTTAAGCCAACTTACCAGTTGCCGGATCCGACAATGCAAACGCTGGTCTTTTGAGCCATTTTTTTTTTGTTAAATTAGTTATTTGTTTTTAATTAGGGGGGTTTTGAAACAGTTTTTGATTTATATTTCTATAAAAAATATATTATCGTAATTTTTTACGTTACGTTGTACTTTTATTTTGCAAAGATTACGTTTATTTTGTTGTTACGTTTGTTTTATTTTTTAATCGATTTTTATTCAACGTTTCTTTCGAACACAAAATGACACGTTAAACACGGCCGAAGCAGCAACTACGACTGACTGGCTGACTAGAAAATTCAAATTCATTTAGTTGCGCCGTTTGGCTGCTCTAATCGCTGTTGGTTTCGCTGACGCAGAACCAAGAAAATGATGTTGGGGAGAGCGCTTTCCCTCCATTGAATGGAGGAATACTCTGTGTTATCTTTGTTTATTTGAAGTCAAATGGCATATCTCTCTTTTTTCCGCTGATAGTTCTCTTAATACTCTTAATCGGAAAATAAATTCACTAGGGGGGCAATGTATGAAGCTAGCAAACATTCCATTCTCATGTGAGCAATGGATGATGCAGTTTTCTTTCCTACGGTTTGTTTTGCCTGATAGCAATAAACAAAGAACAGTATCAATTCAGATAAACAATGACCTAATGGATCACTACAAACGGAGATAAAGCTGATGATAATAATATGTTGTATTATCAGAGGAGATATGAATATCTGTTTGAAAGTAAACAAAAAGAGATAGAATGTGAAACTTCCCTTTATCGAAACAAATTTTTAGACGGATGGGAGAACCATAGACCTGTTAAAGATTTTCTAATTATTGCTCATGGAAGACCTAATTATAGTCTTAAAGGATCTTCTATCCACAGCAAACCTTTGCATAGAGGTGTCGGAAAATGTATTCTTACCATAAAATAATAAAAATCATACGTCGATTAAATACCTTATTCTTCTGTTTGTATAACCCCAGTGCAGTCCAAAGAGAAAATCGAAAACTAGCCTCCTATGTGGAGAAGGCCCGGAAATGTATTATATTCATAAGTCTTAAAATAGTGTGAAGGTATTAAGGATCTTATTCTATCTATAGAAGATCCATAGAATATTCTGTCTGTAGGTTTTTTTTCTGTTTTAAAAAGATTAAAAAACTATTTGAGGACGGTCTGCAGAACATCCACATTAAACATATTTACTTATGATGTATGGAATATCCAAAAAAAATCTAATTATAAAAATCTCGAAAAAGGTATTCTGCCTACTGAGGATCTGAGAATGGTCATGAATAAATATAAGACAAGAGAAAGGTCTTCTATCTTCAAAATACCTTCCTTTATCTTCCTACCTTCGACTGGGGGCAAATGCCAGTCTATAAATTAACCCCGAAATGTATTTTGCCTTAAGCCTAATTAACAAGTCAATTTTGAAAACAAATCTATACTCACAGCTTATATCCATTTATTTAAATATATTTTGGCTTGCGTTATGATTATGCAAAATAAGAAGTGGCTCAATATTGTCAATTTTCGCCAATAACCCAAGTCTGAAATTGATACTATTTTTGGGACAATTATGAAATTTTTTGGGGGGAAAATTGATTGATATATAACATTTCAATGCGATTTTATATCCTCAGCCATATGGTTACAGAGGGTATATATCATTTGATACGGCCAAGACGTGCCTCATCGAAAGAACGGTTTTAGACCCTAGGTCTCTTTGCACCAAATCCGTTTCAGTACATTTGGAGTCGATCTAGCTATGTCCGTCCATCCGTCCGTTTGTCTGTCTGGCTCTCGAAGGGAGTATCCGATCCAAACTTAGATCGAGTTCGGAGATGATGAATATCGGTCTACTCCTTCCCCACAATGATCGAAATTTTCAAAAAATATATTTTCTGCACAGAAAGAGAAACGATAATCCGATTTTGCTCGAACTTTGCAAATCCTAATATTTGCGTCAGTGCTAGGTCAGGTGCGAAAATTGGCAATATCGGTCCACTCCATCAAGTACTTCCCCCACAAAGGGTCAAAATTCAGAATGATTACAACTCTTATAAAATGTCATTTAAGAGTCCGATTGTATTCGAATTTCACACATCCGAATATTTTTATTAACCCAAGGTTGGTGTTAATATGGAATACATTGGTCTGCTCCTTTTGGTACCTCCACCACAAAAGGTCGAAATTTTCAAAAAAAAAAAAAAAATATTTTCTGCACAGAAAAAGAAGCAATAATCCGATTTTGCTCCAACTTTGCAAATCCTAATATTTGCGTCAGTGCTAGGTCAGGTGCGAAAATGGGCAATATCGGTCCACTCCATCAAGTACCTCCCCCACAAAGGGTTAACATTTCAGAATAATTACAACTCTTATAAAATGTGATTTAAGAGTCCGATTGTATTCAAATTTCACACATCCGAATATTTTTATTAACCCAAGGTTGGTGTTAATATGGAATACATCGGTCCACTCCTTCTGGTACCTCCTCCACAAAGGTTTAAAATTTTGAATATCCATGAAGCTGATAAACAGCGAAATGGAGCAAGTTGAGTTTAGGGTCTATGCTCGGATTATTTTGAAATTTTTACCGCAGGTGGGTATTTTTAACTTGATTAAGGGAAAGTAATTTTTCGTGGGGGAAATACCCGGTTACCCGTTTATTTGACACGAAAGTTCGAATACAAAATAAGGTCTTGAGATTTTCTCCCCTGGGGTATGTCCAACACCGGCTACGCGGTCCATAATTTTTCTAAATATAATTTTTGTAAGTAGCCGGAATTCGACTTTAAAGTCAATATCTTCAGAACTACAAAGGTATAAAGGTAAGACACATATTAGTGGAGAAAATGTCAATTTCATAATTTGCAAACTAATATCTTCGGAACTACAAGAAATATCAATACCTATAGCAACTTTTTGGAAAGGCCATAGTGTAGACCACAATGTAGTATGCAGTTTCTTATACCCCATAAAGGGCCCATTTTCGACTTTTTATGGGCTTTTCAAAAAGTTTCGGAACAAAAATACCAATTTTTGTATTACTTCGGAACCGATTGAAACCAACCAATAACCAGTAACGTATAACCACTTTTTAGAAAGGTATTTCCATAAGCTGAAACCGGGTAACCGGATATTTCCCGCACAAAAAATTACCTTGCCGTAATCGGGTTAAAAAGATCTACACGTGGTAAAAATTTCAAATTAGGCCCAAGATTTCTTTTGCTACCTGTACTACATAGGTTTCAAGATTTTGAAAAACAAAACCAAAAAATTTGCTAACGCAAGATCTGCCAACCCCTTCTGGTACCTCACGCTCAAAGGGTCACAATTTTCAATATTTGCGAAACATGTCAGTGATTCTTAACAACTTGCTTTATCTAAGTATTTCTCTCAACCAGAAATCTGAGATAAATATGGGATTTATGATTTCCCATAAATAGGATATAAATGTTCGATTGTCTTGTAATTTTGCCCACACCAATATTTTAATATGTATTAGATGAAGCATGAAAATGGAATACTTCGGTCGACTATACGTGGTTCCTCACGCACATGTTAACATTTTCTAAAAATTATCACATGTGTCATGTAAAGTTAAGGAAGTTACCAACCTCTTACCAAGTTAGCCATATTTATATCGAATTTATTTACGTCCGATACGAAACAGACATTATTGGTCCATTACCTCAGAGGGTCAACAGTTTGAATAATCATAACATAAGTCGAAATATATTTAAATAATCGAACAATGACTGAGGGTATACGTATGCCAGCAGAATCCATTGATACTTTTTAACTTGTTTCGATCAGATGTTCTGAAATACATCGTGTGTGGATGAAAATCAAACATATAGCGCACAATAAAATTAAAATGATGAATTGAAGATATATATAGGAGCTATATCTAAATTTGGATCGATTCTCACCAATTTCAATAATTTGTGGAACATTTTATCTTAATCGGACAATAAATATGACCTGTATCTTGCTTACAAAAATACGTGGACAGACGAAGGGCATTTATAAAACGACCCAGAAATGCACATAATAACTTGGGCCAAAGTGTGGCGTAGATTGGAAAAATTGCCACCATGATCTCAATAAACAAATTTTACGCTGATCACTTAAGATACTATATGGGGTATTCGACAATTATTTCGAGGTGATACAAACAGAATGGAAAAATTATTATAACCACTACCTCAAAGTAGCCTTCTTACAGAGAAGGATAGCCTACACGTAGTAATTTATGTTCTAAAGACTTATAAACATAAAATGTTATACCGATATCCTGTAGATTAAAACTAGTTTTATTTTAAATCTTGCGAAGGACCTTCATCAATATTTTTATTGTTATTCCATTCTTTCTAGAAATAATTTAAAACTCTCTCAATACTAAAAGTAAAAGACACCATAGAATTGAAAATTTCTTTGACATTTTATCAAGGCCCTGCAACTGCATTTGTAAACAGGTCAACATGTTCCCACTACCATGAATCGTTAATCTTCCATGAACAAAACACAACAACATACGTTGGATTTTTTCATTACAAAAACAACAACACACCAGAAACCATAGCGGTAACATAATCTAATGGTGTAGGAGTTTATTTTTGTGGGATACCATATGTTTTTTGTTTCCATTTTCTAAATGGTAGGGTTAATCCCATTGTTGTTGTTTTATGAATGGAAAATTTTTGAATATCAACGACGAATAACAATGGAAAATTTTGAATTGTTTACAACGAGCTTGTAGCATTTGGAGCTGTGCCAAAGAAACGCACAATAGAGATACATATTTCTTTGAATATGTTTCCAATTGCCTTAAGCGTGTCACTCGGGTATACAGCAGTGCATCTTTTTATTTTTCTGGGACTATGGTTGTTTAAATAGTTCTGATGACAAGGAATGGAGTCATTAGAAGGCCTTGGGCAGACTAAATCTTTCGTTGGTCCGAATTGTTGATCCGATCATCTCGGGAAGGGGTTTTCAGAAGCAGGTTTTCAAATATTGTATTAAAATATGTGCTTGACTAAGCATTAAATATGTGGGTGTTTAATGTCTGCTGGGAAAATAAACAAATTCCATCAGGTGTCATTACTTTCCATATAGCTTTTCCGAAATATATCTATTAAATTTCATAAAATCATTTCATAAAGATGCGAATCATAAAATCTCCGTGAAATGTCTCCTCCCAAATGTTGTTCAAGATATACCCCAAAAAACATTGCTATCTTTTTTTATCTCTCCTTCCATATGTTCATCTTCTCGTCCTTCTGAGAAAAACACGA